TGCTCTTGCTCTCTCTCTCTCTCTCTCTCTCTCTCTCTCTCTCTGTCTGTTTGTCGATGTGTCCCTGTCAGTCTCTATCTCTATCTATCTATCTATCTATCTATTTGACAAAATAAACTTATAGACACATGCAAAAAACTGACACACATGCACACACACACAAACACACACTGACCAAAGTCCACAGTAGGCTTAGTGGGGGAAGCTATTGGGGTCATCGGCCACCTGTGATTCTGGTGACGTGTGCGTGGCCAGTGTGTGCGGAGAGAAACCGGTCAAGACCATCCGTCCTTTTATCCTCGGCTCATCTCTGCGACCCCCACGCCCACTGCCCGAGACCCCCACGCCCCCCCTCCCCCCAACTGGTGACCTTAACACAAGATAATAACCGTCTCAGGCTCCAACTTGAAGACGACAAAGACATTTTTTTCTTCCGCACAACAAGGGTCTTCCTCTAATCTCGCCTTGAAAAGAATTCAATTTTCTTCGTTCACAATCATACCTTTAGAATAAAAAAGTGCAAATAAAACAAACCCCACATAGAAACCACCCTTAATAAAATTATCGAAATAACTTTAACAAACACTGGTACAACAGTCGATTGCGTATTTGTATTTCTCATCGCGTTGTTTTGAAAAGGACACCTCGGATGTTCTAGAACTAACAGGCCAGGGTTATAATCACAACAGTTAAAGATTTAAAACAGGGATAGACGGTACACCGTCTAACAGCCTAAACACCGGCCCAAAGGCTTAGAGCAGTATCGTCTAGAACGGACCGGTTTGCACTGAAAGTGACGTAAAAAAGATAACAATATAAATATTAGTTTGATCTAAACGACGGAAGACTAATTTGTGAGGGCATACAGAGATAAATTAGTCTCGAAGGTATTAGATTTTTTCACATGGTGATAAACATGGGGCTTGGGGGCCATGACTTAAAATGCCGCAAAAATCTCATTTTCTCAAAAAATGGACATATGTATGTATGTATGTATGTATGTATGTATGTATGTATGTATGTATGTATGTATGTATGTATGTATGTATGTATGTATGTATGTATGTACTGGTAG